CCATACTGTGTGAATAATTTATAGAATAGGGGTGAATAAAGTCCAGGGTTTGTTTGGTTTTTGTTTTCTCATCTATGGCATGGTTTAGTCCCTTTCTACACCCCTTTCTCAAGGGAGGGTAGGGGTATGGGAAGAGCAATTCTCTTTTCCTTTCAAGAGTCATGATACTCAAGAAGTCCCCCTTCTCTGAATAGAAGGCTAGATCTCCGTGGTAACTTGGTATTACTTGCAAGACCAGTCTAAAGCTAGTCTGCCCAAGATATCACCCTTTTCCGGTTAGAAGCTTATTTAATGGGATCATATTGCCTAGGAAATCCTCCTTCTTTGATTAGAAGGTCAGGTTCCAGGAACTTCAAACCTGAGGTTTCTTACAAGGCAACGCCTGAATCTGATACTGCCTAAGAAATAGCTTCTTGAACCATGTGGACAAGCACATGTAGCTCTTCATTTGCTTTTACTGAAAGGCTTTAGTGAAGCAGGAAGAACCCTCCTACTCCTATGCGTACATATGCTCTCAGAATCTTTCCAGAAGAAAAGCCAGAAGAGGTGAAAAAGATTCAGTCTTTGATGAAGATTCCTTTTATTGACCAACAGACAGGCATAGCTCCTCCGATAAGAATCCATCCTCTCAAGAGTCCAAGCCAACCAATTCATCTTGGGAGAAGCTCCAATCCCTGAAACCATCTTCTAGGAGGTACCAAGTGGGGAATGTCCAGACTCTCTTTAAAGAAATGGAAGTGAAAGGTCTAGACAAAATTTTACCTCCCTATGAGCTCAAATTGGCCAGGGAATAAACTCCCTTGATCAAAGCTTTACAAAAACACAAGAACCCACACAAAAGTTACAGCTTCTCTGCATTCTCATCAAACTGATTATGGAACTCACAGGATCAATTCCCTACACACAAATAAGTAAATATAATTTAATATGAGAAGGGAAAGGGAGTACTAACAACTAGGGGCAATAAAGGAAGGTTTCCCACAGGAAATGGTGCCTGAGATGGGCCTGGAAGGAAGGATGGATTCTAAGAAGATGACCCTTGCAAGCTGTTACCTAGAATGACTGAGGAAAAACATTTTTTCTTATTTTATATTTAGTACTACCACTGAAAACCTAGTAAATATGGAATTATAGAATAGATATTATATATTCTTTGGTGACAATTCAATCTAAAATATCTGTGTTACCAAACTTGAACTAGAATAATACTTGAACTTTACTGAACTTTTACCATGATTATGTTAATTTAATAACTTCCATAAAACAAAATCAAAAGCTCTTGATTTTTAATTTAATGTTTATTTAATTCACCAATATATGAAGGAAGCAAAATGTAGTCATTACCTCCTCTAATTACTTTAACCACTTGCAATCACATATATTATTACAAATACGTCCTTTGTTTTTGCAAAAACTGCTGACAATATAAATTTTACAACTGCTGCCCCTTCTGTATGATATATTATCCATTCCTAGAGTCACTACTAATGAGGCTTATGGCTAGATTCATTAAATATGGCCAATAATAACATTTTTTATTGCCAGTTCAAAATATTACAATTCTTCTTGATGGTAAATTTCAACATTATTCATCTTGCTTGTGGGAAGAGGAAAAACTGATGCAAAAACATTGTAGTATCAGCAAAATATTTTTGATGTCAGCAAGTACTATGTGTCTGAGATATTAGTAGAGAAGATAAATGTTTTCTTAATGGTGACTGAAGCAGGAGAGCAAATTGAAAGATTAATTGAGAGAGTAAACGAATGTAACTGCCAGACTAATTGCTTTACTTTGAGAGATTTCACTTCTAAAAGATTCTTCTTATTAGCAAGAAAGCAGTAGTATTTGTCCCATGAGAACAACAAATAGGCAACAGACGTAAAGACTATACCAGCCCCTTTCCCATTCTAAGGCTGTCTACAGGCGGCAGATAAAATGAAGGAAAAGATTAGCTTCTGGGCTAGTATTTGTAAGACAGCCCATTCTTTTTTTTTAAGCTTAATTAAATTTTCATAATGTCAATTTCAAGTAGACAAAGGTAAGAAATTTAAATAGTTGATTATATATCCCTACAATATAACCGGCTAAATTAATCAAGGTATCAAACATCCTGTTATCTTTATAATAAAACATATTTTAAAAGTTGACTGTCCTAAATATATATAATATTATTTACATAGCTATCATAATTGTTCATAACTTGTACATATTAATTTTATATTCATATATTTTAAATAATCTTAATTCTCAAAAGTCTAATTAATAATTAATCTAATATTGTACAATTATATACAAAAATAATAAGAGGGCAACATCCATATTGAAGTTTCTTATATTATAGTGAGAAAATTTTTCCTTTTAAAGGTAGCATATGCACACCATTTAGTGAACATAAATGAACATATTCTGATTATAATGCATGGATTGCAATTTGCATTGTTAGAAGGAACTCCTGAACTGAGGAGATCAAAGATCCATCTAAGTATTTGAGTATTAACACTTCATTCAACTGACATCACTGAGGAATGAAATGTTTCAAATAAGTGAACGTCATAGATAATTTAAGCTTTCTGTTTTAAACACTCCTTTTTTGAGTGTGTTGGGTAGGACAGCAAGAACATTTTTGGTTTCTAAAATATACTAAATATTTTCTTGCTTTATGAAACAATATATACTGAAAGCAATTAAACTTTTTCTTGTGGATTCAGTGTCTTCATTACAAATATCAGTCAAAGAATTGTGATACAGGACAGAAATGCCCTACTAAACTATTGAGGTATGTAGTGACATTTGCTCTTACCACAGATGATCTCAGACTTCTGTACATTCATGGTGTTTCTGGTTTTGTTGCTGTTGTTTTTAAATAATTCTTTTGTCCCCTTTCCTGGTGTCATTTTACATTGCTCTCAGCATTTCTGTCAAGATCTGTCCTTACTTTCCACCTATGTATTTCCTTTCAACAGATACAACTAATCCCCATGCTTGTATATTAGCTATAGTAAGTCCTATGAGTGCACTCTACTCCAGCAGGCAATACAGAGTAGCATTTTGGTATTTGCTTCACATTCAAAGTCTCCTTAGTGCTAATACCTCCTATTTGTTCTCCAGTTTCCCTTGTCCTGGCACTTTGGCTCTCTGAGTCTACATCCTGCTTGGTATCTATGTTCTTTTAGTTTTTCTTTGGCTTCCATCCTCCACTGTTTTCTATCCTTAAATAGTCATATGTGACCTGACTTTAGTTTAAGACAGCACATTCTATGTGGCAGCTAGGTGGTGCAGTAGATAGAGCACCAGCCCCTGAGTCAGGAGGACCTGAGTTCAAGTCCAGTCTCAGACACATAATATTTCCTAGCTGTGTGACTTAACCCCAACTGCCTCACAAAAAAAAAAAGAAGAAGAAGACAGCCTATTCTAATGCCACTGTGGAGCTCAGTTTCTTAGGAGAGATCACTAGTGATCCAGTTTTTTAAAAAAATCTTGCTGGTAGAACAGTCAAGCACTAGGAATATTTTCAGGAGTAGACTTCCCTTTGCATCCCTATATTACTCAGTACTGTATTCATGTGTCTGGTATTCCACACTAGATCAGTATAGCTAAGAGCAGGGTGATAACGAATCTGTGTTATAAGGTTAGTAACAGGTCTCTCTTATTTCAATTCTGCCTGTGTCAAAGGTTGCAAGACCCTGACTGACAGAGAATTTGGGAGCCTGTACACTTCTCTTCCAATACAATCAATCTCAAGACTTCCAATACAATCAATCTCAAACACTAGCCATTTTCTACTTACCTACCTAAAGCCTTAGTACTGAAACTAAAAATTTTTAGGAGGGAGTTCCATTTAGAGTTTCTCCATCCATTCTGGCAAGAGGCAGAACACAGGTAGAGTGACAGGATAGCACCTATAGTTATGGAAGGAAGTAAGGGAAGGGAAAGAAGGCATTCTGACACAGATTTCTTTTTACTTTCTTCTACTCTGAAGAATACGATTCCAACACAAGTATCAGAGTGTTCAGGATTCCCCTTCCTTTAATATGTATACTTTTGTTTCAAGGAATACAGAGTAACTTACTAGAATTCTAGAACCAAAACTTTGGAATCAAATGGAGTCTAAGGTAATGTTATAGAACACTACTTCTATGTAGAAAATACACTCAAACATTAAAAGGCCAGGGATGTTAATCAAGGATACTGAATCAGTTGCAAATCAGTATTCCCTGAGGTCCATTCCCATTAACCCTAAAAAGGAAGCCCCCATTCAGTATGACCCACAGTGAACCTCAGTTTCCTACAATCTGAAGAATGCTTGTAACTACTGATATCAAAAGTGGGGTGGTGGTAGACAGGATACTGTTTCATCATTGAACCACACAAAAGTTCCTCTCAAGGAAGAGATTTTTATACTCCAAAAGGATTGTGGGATAGAAGAACAGAATTAATGCCCTTATGACTTTTCCTAGAACAGTCTTGTATGAGATAACTTACAGGGGAAGAAAGAAGACAGGTATGACATGAGACATCTTGTTTTGGGAAGAGGTTTGCAGGACAGAAGAATGAATGATACTTACCTGATAGACTGGGGGATTGTGTACTCAAATCTTACAAGTGGATTATAGACTCAAACCTGTCAGTCCATTACCTACTAATCTCCTGTACTCTATAACAAACATATCATCTGCCCATTCACAATTTTGTTCTTAAGATTCATATCTGAACATATCTGAACATATCTGAACTCCCTTCCATTAGAAAGTTTTTCTAGAATTTTGTAGCATTTTACTACCTCAAAGAAATATCTACTGATTAATATAAATTCATGTTCCAATAACCCAGAAACAAAATTACTAAATTTGCCCTTTTAACTCAAATTTTTAAAGCAAATGAATGTCTATTTTTAAAAGTTTTCCAATTAGCAACAGATTATGAGTTTAATATGGGACATAGAGAAATAATTTTAGAGAACTGAGTTCAGTTTTTAGCAAAACTTTTTTTTTCTCTTTACCTCATCAGTGCTGGCTGTTACAGAAAGATCAATTGAAATCAAGTTGGGAAGCTGTGTAATGAACTCAATCCCACAATCAGTCAACTGTGTACAATTACATAAATTCAAGTAGGTAAGACTACAACACCTAAAAAATAAATAAACACATTCCCAGTAAATTTTGGCTTTTTGTTGTACTGTTGAGAGTAGGGTTTTTTTGGCAAACTTAAAAAGGAAAAAAAAAACCCTACTCTCAATGAAATGATTTTTCAATTTTTCAATGAAGAAATATGAAGAAGCAAAACACAGAAAATTATATACAACTCAGAAATTTAAAACTGAGGAAGAGGGGAGGGTTTTTTTTTTTTACATTTTAAGTTCACTTTCATATTTTGTCAGCTCTTCCCATAAGATAAAAAACCCACAATGTGTTAGTCAGGAATTATTAAGTAAAGGGGATATAGTTGTGTGCCCTAGACTGCAAAGGCACAGACCTGCCAGCACCTGCCAATTATATCCTGAGTCTTTTTGGAAAGCATTGAGACTTTCTCATATAGCTAGTGGCAAAAACTAGTCTCTGGGTATACAAAGGAAGGAAGATGAACTGAGAACTTCTATCAGTGTTGAAGTAAGTATATAGAACACCATGATTGAGAGGGAGAGAACAGTAGTTCTGGGAGAGTGGGAGCCCTAGACATTTATGAGAGATACGCAGTAGGAGCGATGAGTCTGTGAATGGTGGGAAGAGAGGAAGTGAGAGAGGGAGTGAGTTGAGATGCATACTCAGAGGAACAGATTTACTATCAGGTAAGGTTGCGGTTCTACAGGCCAGAGGGTGTTCTGGGACTCAGTACAGTGAGTACATGTGGCAGGTGAATGGTTGTGTTTCGGGTCCCAGTAGGTCCTAAACAGTAATACCACGGTGGAAGGCTCATGGTGAGAAAGTCCACTTAGATTCCATATATGAATGGCAAGTGTCTGAGCTCCTGTGTTCTCCACAAAGGGATAAAGGAATGTGCCTGGAGTGAACAAGAAATCTAGGGAAGAAATGAGATCAGTGTGACTGTGTAAAAGAAGTCCCTAACACCATTTATGATGTCTAGTGACCACAAAGGACATATAATAAGATTTGTGTGCTGGTCTATCACATTGCTGATTTTTGCAATAATAACTGATACATACATAACTAATTCAGATTTTCAAAGAATTTTCTTCCCATGAATCCATCAGGTGGGTCATGTAAATTAATGGAGCCCTTCCCTGGCTCCCATCCCAAGCTCCCACCTGGTCCTCCAGGAGCAGGCAGGCACATGTTTGGGGAGGAGGTGAGGGGAAGGACCCTACTCCCATTGTATATTCTCTGCCCACTTCTTGTGGACAATGTCAGATCTCTAGGCAGGGCTGGAAGAAGGCCCATTCACCCAAGTATTACTTTTTTCATTTTACAGATGAGAATACTTAGGTTCAAAAAATGCTCTAATATGGTAGCTAGTAAACATCAAAGATGGGACTCCAATCCAAATTCTATAACTTTACAACATACCTTACATCCTCCTACAATTGAAGGCTTGTGAATTTTGAACACACAAGCCATAAGAAGGACCAAAGGAAAGAGACCAGGTGAAACATTTCAATCTTCAATAAACTGCCCTTCAACGACAACAACAGATTTATCTCATAGAGGCAGATGTGGCACAATGGATAGAGCACTGGATTTAGAATCAGGAACATCTGAGTTCAAATAGGGCCTCCTATATTTACCAGTTGCATAATCATAGTCAAGTCACTTAAACTCTGTTGGTCCATTATTAATTGTAAAATGGAAATAATAATAGCATCTCCCTCCCAGCGTTGTTGTGAGGATTAAATGAGAAAATATTTATAAAAAAGCACTTAGCACAATGCCTGGTACATAGTAAGCACTATATAATGGTATATTCCCTTCCCTTCATAGGAACAAGCATTTTTTAGTGTCATATAGATCAACACTAGGTTATAGAATCATAGGTTTTAGAAATGGAATGGGCCTCAGAGATAGAACATCTTATTCTAATCTTTTCCTTTACCAGATAAGAGACCTGAGACCCAGGGAGGTTGTGATTTATCTAGGGTCACAAAGGAAGTAAATGGCAAAACTGGACGCCACATCCACCACAGGAAACCAAATGGTTTACATGACCATTAATTTCAGTAATATATGTGCTGGCTTCTAGGAACTACCTTCTAAGGTACGCAAGTTTTGGGCAACATTGTTAGGACATTCTGTTGGAAAGAAAAATACATCCTCCCACACATTCTGCATGTCTGAACCATGTATAATTCATTTTAAGGAAATGAATATATTGCTCTTAGCTGGATTTGATTCAGCTCCCACACATACCAACTAATGGCTTTGGGTAGGTCATTTAAACAGTCTCAACTGCAGTTTCCTTTCCTTCTTTGGTGTGTCACTCTCTCCACTTCAGGTCTACAAAACCCTTACTAAGCATATAGTACCAAGTACTAGTTACAAGATTCCCCAGGATAGATAATAATGTATGATATTTGAATGACCTAATTCACATGGTTTCTGGGAAGAAAATGTTCTGTGAACAGTAATGTAATTGTGAGATGATAATGGTGATGACAATGATGACAACACCCAATTTTAAAAGTTTGAAGTATAGGGATAAGTTGACAATGAACATATTCTAGATAGGTATAAGTAACAATGGCTAAGGGGCAGCTAGGTGCTATAGTGGATAGAGCACCAAACCTGAAGTCAGGAAGGCTCATTTTCCTGAGTTCAAATCTGGCCTCAGACACTTTCTAGCTGTGTGACCCTGGGCAAGCTGCTCAACTCTGTTTGTCACATTTTTCTTATCAATATAATGAGCTGGAGAAAGAAACGACAAACCACCCCAGTATCGTTGCGAAGAAAACTCCAAATGGGGTCACAAAGACTCGGACGTGACTGAAATGAATGGACAACACACAATAGCTATAACTATTAGTTGGTGTTTTAGTAACTGTTAAATTTCTAATCATTGTCATCACTACCACTGCAATTCAAAAAGTCTTCTGGCCAATTAAGAGCTTTTATAAAGCATCCAAAAAAATACTTCAATTCCATGCCAATTATACTTGTAGTTATAGTGGATGTGTGACTTCCACACCCATTCTACACATGGATGAAAAGGGCAAAGTGTGTATATTTCAAGTAAAAATTATGCCCTCAAAAATGCAGTGAAATGGCCCCTTTTTCTAAGTATTCTATCTTTATAATATATTATCGAATATTAAACTGTTCCTTTTACAGAGAATTGGTGACAAACTACCCTGGTTCCATAGATGTACAACTTAATCTTCATGACAACTTTTAACCAAAATTTCAGTGAGGGCTGGCTTCTTTTTAGTGTCTATTTATTTTCCCCAAATTGTGGAAAATAACAAGTCATTATTGTATATTTAATTAGTGATCAAATACTGCAGAACATTGTAGTCCTTTGCCATACCTTTCTCCCATTTGTGCAAGGGCAAGATCACTTATTTGGGCATAGTTAGTTAAATTCAGTTCTCTGAGCTTTGAGCTTGAAGGTCCAACAAGGAAGTTCCTTAGGCCAGCATCCCCAATTCTGAAAGGATGAAAAAAATTGCTTTACATATGCTTTATAGGAATTGAAATACTAGTTAGTAAATACCTTATTAATTATTAGAGACAGGTTGGTACAACGGAATAAGCACTAGCTCCAGAGTCAGAAGACATGGGCTTACATCCCACCTCTGCTGCTTACTATCTCCATAATTTTGGGCAAGGCATTTACCTTCCTTGGGCCTCAGTTTCCCTATTTGTAAAATATTTGTAAAAACAAGAGCTCCAAGGCTCTTTTAGTCTATGATCCTACAATACTTCAAGAATTTATGATTTTGCTGGTGTGGGAACTCCCTCCATTGATATAGACTGCAATCCTTCCATCCCTTACCAGATAGTCATTGAGTTACTAAAACCAAAAAATATTTGTCACCAGGTAGCCAACCTTCTGATGAAGAGCCTTGCTGAGTTTGACTAGGTTGGTTCTCAGATTAGCAACAAGGTCTATCACTATGCCAAATTCATAGACTTTCTATTTTCACTCCACTTTCAATGCATTCATGTGCATTTCATTGGTTACCCATCATACCTGCAATACTCTCCCTCCTTACCTCTGCCTCCTAATTCCCTTGGCTTCCTTCAAGTCTCAGTTAAAATCTCATTTTTTGCAAGAGATCTTTCCCAACTCCCCCTTAATGCAAGTGACTATTCCCAATTTACTCTGTATTCAGCTTGTAAGTACGTAGTTGCTTGCATATTTGTCTCTCCCATTAGAATCTGAGAGTGTTTTTGTCTTTCTTTGTACTTCAGTACTTTTGGTAGGACCTGTCAGAGCTTGTACTTCACTAGGGTAACCTTAGAGAACCCAAGGTCATTACCATGCCACAGAAAGGCATTAGAAGTCTTTTCTCAACTTTCTAAAACCAAATTTCATTGAATAACCATTGGCTTTTGTAGAAAACCATTAACAGTATTGGTGCTGATGCATTACCAACAATATTTTTTAAAAGTATAACTCCATTCCCAAAGTCCATTGGTATGGGACTCTTTCCTCATTGGTGGAGGTGGATGCCCTGCCCTGTATGAAGTAGCTGAAGGAAAGAACTCTGGGAAGACATGAGAGAAGCTGACAGTTTCCATCATATCCTTTCCCCAGCTTGCTACACTAGAGACTTCCTGGAACTTCCCCTTGGATGAGATCTGGTATTCTCTCTCAGTTGAGCTGAGTTACGTTGGTCCCAATAGAAGAGCCCCTTCTGTATTATCTAGTATATATTCTTCTATGCATACTTTCTCTTATTTGTTTTGCTATGATTTGGGTAAATGGGTTTCTTGGATAACTTGAATGTTTTCATTGCGGAACTAACTGCTATGTGTTCATTGTGGTTTTTTGCGGGAAAAGGATCAAGCCTTGGATATAGAGCTTAAGGTCCCTCTCTTCCCCAACAATGAACAGCAATCAGAATTTAGCTTGAACTTGAACTTGTTCATATCTCCTAGACTAACAAAAGGGAGCAAATAATATAATTCTAGCCTGCCCCCCCATCCCTTTTCTGAGGAAAGCAAAGTGGTCCCCAGCCCTAACTTCATTCTTCTTCTCCTGGAAGGAACTGAAGTCTTCCTTAGAGAAAGGTGGAGGAAGAAGCAGCTAGGGATGTCTATTCTGTCTCCCTTCAACTCACATAACAATACCCCCCCATACTATATGTGGTGGGGGATGTGAGGGGAAATCAGCCCTCACTAAACATGGGGTCTCGCCACATAAGCATTTCTAAGTTCCTACAATGCAAACATGACTATTAACCTGCTGCCTTCACAAAACTATCTTAAAAGTCAGATAAAATAAGCACACAAAAACACTAAAAGGGACTCTGTTACAAATACCAGATGAGTCAAAAGTGGGTTGTTTTATTTGTCTTATCTAGAATCATTTCCCATCATTACAATCAATTAATCAATTAGCCTTTATATGCCAGACACTGTGCACAAGAATGAGGAACAGATCCAGGGAAAGAAATTGGAAGTTGGTGTTTGGTGCCCCATTTGCAATCTTTGATCTTCCCAATTACATTTGCTGTCATTTGTTTCTTTCTAATGCAAAATTATTTCTAGAAAAAAGTAAATAAATGCTGCAGGGTCCTCAATCTACAAAAATTCAACTTAGAAAGAACTTGGTCATAAAAAATGGGCATCAGAGGCGTCAAAACCTGAAGCCTTTGTCCTCATCTCCATTAAGACAACTGCTCTTCATTCTCTCTTTAAAAAGGTCTGGGATATGATTTATCCAAAGAGGTGCTCTTCTCAAGCAAAATATAGAGGTTCTGGAGAGGTCCCTTTTTTTTATGCTGATATAGAAGTATAGTGAATTAACAAATTATCATTTCATGAGATACACACCCTTTCCCACACCCACCCTCATCACTGCTGAGGGATTCACTACTAATGAATTTCATTACTACTGGAGCTCAAAGTGCATTTTCTTGTTAAATAATGATCTATAAATTGTGAGTAGGTGCAATTGAAGCAAAACTATTAGCACTATATGTCAACTATGTCATGGGTAAAACAGTCTTTTGCTGGCCTGGGACCTGACTGCCTTTTTTAAGGTAAAACGCACCGAGTTCCAAAAAGTCAATTCACAGATAAATTCTGGACTATAAACTGTTAGTAAGTGGACATTCTGCTTATTCCAATTCTATGGTCTTTTCAATCTTTCAATGAAATCATATGTATATTTTAAATGAGAACATCAAATTTAGGAGAGTTGCCTAATTGTGCCCTCTACTTTTTATCACTTCATTTACTTCTTGTAAGTATGTTAACTGTCCTTCTTAAATGAAAAGGAAAAAAAATATGCAAGATGGAAACAGCTTTCTGGTTTGTTTGTGTAATTGCTTCCACTCACTGCCAAAATGGCATGTAGTAACCTGAAACCTTGAGTAAGCTACGAAGTAGAAGAAACTTAGATTTGGAAATACATATTTGGAAATTTGGAAATAGAGGGTGTCCCAAAAAATCATAGTGGAGTTTTAAGCTTTAATAACTTAGCTCTGGGACACCTGTGTAGTGGCCTTTTTCCAAGTCTTCCTCTATGTGATGAAACCCTCATCCATATCTTTTTATATATATATACATATCCTTTTCATAGAATCTAAATAATTCAGCTAGACATATTACATATAAATTAAAACATACATATATTGGCTTAAAAATACAAAACATATGAACTTCTGCCTTTACAAAGTTTAAATATCTAGTTTTAATGACAGCTGTATTACTACTACATGGCAAAAATATAATGGTTAAATTGGAGATAGCTCATCTCTAAAAATTAAAGCTTTACTTAAATAACAAAATTAAACTTGTCAATTTTCTGCTAAAGCCAAAAAAAAATCACTCAGATAGCTATTGCTAAAACATATCAGTTTTAAAGATTAGGTAATATCAAATGAGTTTTCTTGACTAGTGATTTAAATCAAATCCATCCTAGTTCATTCACTAGTTATTACAGCCTTCACATATTTTTACCGTTTTTTTCTTAAATAATAACACAGGTCAAATTTTCTAATAAAGTTTACTAATGTCAGAGGAAAGAACATCAATTACCATTTAAATTTTTAAATACTTTAATTTAACATACTTATAATTGAACAGTTAGATGGGGGGGGGAAGTGACTTAAGAAGTCATGTCCTAAGTGTATAAAAAGTCATGAGAAAAGGGAACACCAAAAAGGATTGCCACATTTGGTTGGTACTGTCACCTAATCTCAACCACTGACAAGCTCCAAACTACTTTTATATACTAAAACTTTCTGTCTGAATTACATAATAAAACAAGTAACTGGAGAGCAATGGAAAAATTTCACAGCAGATACAAGGACACAAAGAAATCAGATGTTTACAAGTATGTGTATAAACCTCTGTGCATACATGTATATATGCATATCTATGCACATGTGAATATATATATATATATATATATATATATATATATATAGAGAGAGAGAGAGAGAGAGAGAGAGAGAGAGAGAGAGATTTTTTCCCACGTGTATGCACCAGCAAATGGTTGATGTGTACCAACAAACTTGTTAAAACTTGCACAACTAGTTCTGAAGAAGGAAGTCAGTCAACATACATTTATTAAATGCCTACTATTACCAAATACTGTGCTAAGTGCTGGAGATAGGCAAAAGCATGGTCTCTGCCCTCAAAGAGCTCACAGTAGAATAGGGGAGGCAACACGCACAAAAGCGTACACATCAGATATAAACAATATAAATGGAAAGTCATCTCAGAGGTAAGGCACCATGAGGAGAGTGAAACATGAGATTTCATTGGTCTAAGGAACTCCCAGGTGAGGTCACTCCACTGATAGAAATTGGCACCTTCTCTGCAACTTAGGGCTTAGAGATTTGACTAGAGCAGAAGTGCCAAACTCATGGCCCACAAAGCTTGTGTAGCCCGAACCAGATTAAAATGTAATAGAGAAATGTTTAACTAAATAAATAAAAACACAGTACAACTCAGATAAAGTTATTTTGTGGTTTTCTAAGTCAATACATGGCTGGCAAGAATCTGTTTCTATTTGAATCTGACATCACTGAGGGGTTAAGTCCTTTCATTAACAAACAGGAAGAAATCAATACTAAGGAAAAATCAGTGACATGAGAGTGTGTTGTATGTGGCAAATTTCAAGTTTAGTTCCATTTTGCATTTTACTTAGTAGCCATATAGTACTTTAAGGATTACAAAGTGCTTTACAAATATTATCTCATTCAGTTCTCATGAGAACCCTAGGAGGTAGGTGCTATTGTTAACCCCATTTTTCAGGGCAGAAGACTGAGGCTGAGAAAGGACAAGTGACTTGCCCAAGGTCACACTACTGGTAAGTATCTGGTAAGTATAGTCAGGTCTTCCTGACTGTAAGCCTGCACCTAATCCATAATGCTACCTAGCTGCCTATGTAGTTAACATAATGATTTGTAAAATAATTAACACTTTTTCTAACCTTTTAAATCTTCTTGCACTTTACTCCCTCCCACGTACTCTACAATTCAGGGACACTCTCCTCCTTTCTGTTATTTGGATAAGATTCTCCATCTACCAATTCTGGGCATTTTTACTGACTGTCTTCCATGCCTGGAATGCTCTTCCTTCTCATCTCTGCCTCCTGGCTTCCCTGACTTCTTTCAAGTACTAGCTAAAATCTCACTGTCTACAAGAAGCCTTTTCCAATTCCCCTTAATGCCAGTGCCTTCCCTCTTGATCCCCCCTCCCACCCCTGCCATTTGTCTTCTGTAGATTTTATTTGTACATAGCTCATTAGACTGTGAGTTACTTGAGAATAGGGACTGAGGGAAGCTTCAGAAGCTGTATGGAGGCAGACCTTTGCTCCTCACCCCTGGGCAGTTCTGTCCACTCCCCACTTTAAATGGGTCCACAATTGTGATAATGAAAAACAAGTCACAGTGACACATCTTACAGTATATATGCTATTCTGTCCTTGTCTCTTGCGTTTTTGCTGTGATGGGCAAAAGATATCCTTCAAGTAGAGAAACGAGAAGATAAATGATATTTCCAGGGGGAGTGTTGGTCTACTTATCTCCAAAAAGCCAGTCAAGTCACCCAACCTAGTCATGTGCTCCAGATCAGATTGGATCATCATGGCAACAAAACCACCACAAGGCAAACGTCATGCTTCAACCATCAGGCCAAAATATCACCCTTTTTATAACAGTTCCACAATTGTGTCCTCACCATGCTTCAAACAGTTATCCTAATCCTGACTGCTTGGCAATGACTCTGCCATTACCCATTTTGAAATATGGGGCAGAGCAGAGCTAAACCATGAATATACTGAAAAAACTATGCCACAGCCTTAGCCTTTCCCTTAACTTGCTTAGCCTCAGGGCCAAGGTAACTGCTGGGCCTTTCATATCTTCTAAACAATGTTTTATGTCACCACGGGGCCTCAACCCCACATATGTTCTTAGTAGCCCTGAGAACCTGTCCAAAGTTTTACACAGCTGTGTGACTTTAACAGAACAACACCTCAACCAGCAATCCATTTTCTGACCACTGGGCTAAGATTCCACCATTCACAGAACTCAAGGCCCCAACTATACGTTCAACCTCAATATGTCCTGACTACCAGGTCAGGAATGCGCCTGTGCCAGTAAACTGTGTCCCAGCTCCCACCCCCAGTAAACTGGTTGAAGCCTTGAAAAGGCCCATGCACAAGTCCAGGCTATAACAAGCTAGAACTGGGCCACAGTTGCAACATCATCCTGACTACTGGTTCAGAGCTTCAGCTTTGAGAATGTCAGATATGAACCATGGGATCAAGCCTCAAGCCTTGAAAACGAGTTCTGACCTTCATTGTTAGGATCACTAGTATGATTCCCAGACTATACCTTTATCATATCCCAGACAGCACCAGTGCTACAATTGCATATTCACCATGTCCCTAATACTGGATGATAACAGACCAGCCCAGGACAGTAGTTCCACCATCACTAGTTGTTGGACAAGCAAACACATCGACTATGCCATTTCTTAGGAAGAAGATACAGGAGGGCTTCTAGCACCTCTCTTACTAGCAGGTTTGCTTTTGATCAGTCAGATGGGAAAACAGGAATAGAGTCATAATAAGCTTACTTTATTCTAGTCTAGTCTTCTCATAGGGAGTTTGCTGATAATGGGAGCACCAACTCCTACAGCATTCCCTAACAGCCCTTCTCACAGGGGCCAGCGTGAAGGGGGAGGTAATTACTCCTCATCTCGATGGGGTCAATCGAGACCAATACAACTTGTGTACTCCCCTAAATTCCCTCAAGCCTCATTGGGGGCTGGTTGAGGCAAACACACAGATTCCCCCTCCCGAGCCTTGATGGGGGCTGGTTAAGACATGCACAGCATTCAGCCTGCATATTCAACCCATGGGGGTCCCCAGTCACTAACCAATGCCCACTTGCTTTATAGGGCAACAGACAAAGAAGGCATACTGCCAGCAATAGCCTCACAATTTTACATCACTTCATCCCTGTATCTACTGTGTGAGCATGGTAGAAATTGTTTTGAACCATGATCGTGAGAACTCATATCTAACACCTGGAAAGTAGAGATTGTTATGGCTATGGATCCTGGGAAGAAAACTATAAGAAAGAATAACAAAAATCCACTTTACACACACTAAAATTCACCTTACTTACACTGGCCTTCAAACTCTTAGCCAAAAGAATAAATTTTTCCTTCACCAATCTTGGCACACTGGGTCAAAGCCCTTTCATGTACCCTGACCACATAGCAGATACTCCTAAGGAACAAGGCCAAGGACACTTCTGGGCTATCACAAAGATAGAAGCCAAACCAAATCTGCACCTAGCCCTGACTTCCAGGACAAAGATCGTCTCAAAGATAATCAAAAACCAAAACTAAACAAAAAAAAGCCATACTTAAACTGCCTCCCTAGCACAAACCAGACATACCGTGACTTGGCAAAAAGTCACAAAACAGAGATTATAATAGGCCTTACAAGCCAGACACTTTAACCATCAGGCTGAGGGAAAAAAAAAACTCTTCTTAATAGTACTGGCAAATACATTTTTATGAAACGGAAAGACCATTGTATATATTTAAAAAAATTTTGTATTACTTCTTATAATCTAGGGCTTTAAAACACATACATACATTTGCTGTTATATCTGAAATCGTTAGAAAAACATACAGGCAGCTAAGTGGCACAGTACATAGAATGCCAGAGTACTTGAAATATGAAGACATGAATTTGAATCCTGCCTCAGACACCGAGTAGCTGTGTAACTCCAAGCAAATCAAATAACCTCTCTGTGCCTCAGTTTTTTCAAGTGTAAAATGGGGATGATAAAAGCACCTACTTTCCAGGATCGTTGTGAGGATCAAATGAGATAACATAAAGCATTTTGTGAACCTTAAAGTGCCTTATAAATGCTAGCTGTCATCATCAAATCTTATTTCAGATTCTGATTCTAAAGATAATTTGCTATTCAGCGACCTACTTTTATACAACTATCCGTCAGAGTTGGTATATCATTGATGACCAAGTGCTTTATTCCAGTGCAGCCACTTGCAATGTCCCTGAAGCCTTGAACTGAAATCTAAATTTTAAAAAAAGAGGATGTTGATTTTACTGAGTGAACATATTAACATAACATTTAATGAAACTTTAAGACAGCAGTAAAAATGGTTAAGTTAGGCAGATCTAATAATAAAGGTTGAACCTACAAAATATGTTGTTCAAAGTGAGAGATGTAGAAAAGGGATAATCACATTTATTTCCTTTTCTTACAAAATGTTACCCCTTCCTCAAAAATACTGATATAATCAGATCTCAATTATCCACATTTATGGAAAACATCAGATACTTATATGCATATCTGCATAAATTCACAATACATACATGCATACATACAATATGCTCCCAAAATTTTTAAACTGAACCAAAACTTTTGGGACACCCTGTATTAAATGTTTGCCTTTGTGTGTGCATGTGCATGTGTGTGTATGCACATGCATATATATATTCACAAGTGTATATATAGTCAGTTTGTTAGGCTTTCATGATACTAAAACATTGTCATGTTAAAATGCAGAATAAAAATCAGAATATTATCATGAAAATCACGTCATTCATTCTTTGAACAGATTTGCTAAGCACCAACTCAGTCCCACAACACTTATCTGAATTAAACTATCATTTTAAAAGTATTATGCCCTTTTTATATGGGAAAAAAACCCATAAACCCAATGATTGACTATGGCCATCGTAAGGTTTATGTGTCATTCTTTGCTTTTTCTGAAGAATCAATTACTACCTCATTTTGTCAAACATTTATGTCATCTCCATCTCAAGAATGATATTTTAAGTCAAAGTGTCAGTTCTCTTTTATTGAGGCCTTAGGTAAATGTGTTTTTAACATTGAGTACATGGCCATTGGACTGAAATTTTAAAAAAAGATGCTCCAAAATACAGAGAGATGAAGTAAATGACCTATCAATGGTCACACAGCTGTTAAGTATCAGAAGTGAGATTCAAACCCAGGTTTCTTCTGAATCCAAATCCAACAATTTTTCCATTGTATCACACTGCCTCCCCATATGAGGATGATAAAAATACAGTCAATGAAGCCTCGGTGTTGAGCATCCAACTCTAATGATGGGAAACCAAGATCACCCCTTTCCAGAGGCAACTCACTCAGCAAATAGAGACCACCAATTTTAGAGGCAAGAGAGGTTCCCTACACTACATGATTTCTCAGTCCTTTGATACTACAAATTTTGAGATTAGCAGAAGAAAATACTAGGTTTTTGAATAGACCATCAAGGAGAACTCAAGGAGAGCTATTCCTATACTCTTACACATTAAGTGACCAATTAATCTTCCAGAGAAATTCAGCGGAACCCCAGGGTTGTTGGTGAGCATCTTAACAAAGAGTTATATAGAGAAATGAAATTTCTGAGCCTGCATAACTCATAGCTCTCGCTCTCTCTCTCTCTCTCTCCCTCTCTCCCTCCCCAACCCCACACAATGTCAAGAAAGAATTGGCAGTGAAAAGAATATTTGATCTGAAAACAAAAGAATTGGTTTTGAATCCCAGCCCTGTTGCCTTCTTCTTGTATGACTATGGACAAGCCACTTAACCACTGTGGGCCTGAATTTTCTCATTTTCACAAGTGATGGGTTTGGGGTAGAAAGGTGCCTATGAACTCCAATTCTATGATTCAACAAAATAAATGTAATTCCAGAATCTATTTGGAGGTGGTTCCTGTAGTGTAATGGTTATTACTTCACACAAGAAAGGGTTCCCAAGTCTTAACCAGTGTCTTGTGGCTTTCTTTTCTTTGAGGCAGGTAGGTGGCACAATGGATAAAGCTCTGGGCCTGGAGTCAGAAAGACGCATTCAGATCTCACTGTATGACTCTGGGCAAGTCATGGAACTCAGGTTCTACAACTGTCAAACTGGGAATAATGAGAGCACCTGCCTCACAGGGCTGCTATGAGGATCAAATGAGATATTTTGTGAAGTGCTTAGCACAGGGCCCAGCACAAAGTGAGCAGCATATAAATGCCTCTTCCTTTCCACTCATCCCTTCCCTTATTTATTGTTCCTCCTAGACTTGTGCAGGAGTGAAACCGGAAATGGGATTTGTCACCAACTTTTGCTGAGACTCTTCCTCAAGGTGGATGTTCCCTAATAGTTGGTCTTCAGGCCTCTTCCGCTCTTTACACTCTGTCCCTTGTTAATCTCATTCATTTCAGTGGCTTCCACTACAACCTCCACGCAGATGACATTTCAATTTCTATCTCCAGCTCTGAACTTTCTGTCTGCATCTCCAGTTTTCAGAACATCCCCATGTGTATCACACAGGCATTCAACAGCTGTCTCCACTTTTTAAATTCCACTACCACCACCTGATACAGATTCTAATAATCACCAGTCTGGAATATTATACTAGGCTCCTATCAACTCACCCTGCCAACTCCAAATAACCCTTCCTACTACTATCAGACTTCCTTATGTGCACCTGTTGCCTACCAAGGAAAGTTCAGCCTCCTGCGTGTGCATGCAAGAACCGTAAGCCTGACCCACCCTCTTCCTTGTCAGCTTCACTGCATATTTCTCCACACATTTCATAATGCAATGAACACATGCTACTGCTCCATGCCTCTGCTTACATCATTCCCTATGTCTTAAATGTCCTCCTTCCTTTTTTTACCTATCCAATTTTTACTCAACCTTTAAGGTCTATCTCAACTGACAATTCCTCCACAAAGCCTCTCTTGAGCACCAACTCCAATAATTCCCAAGAGAAACTGTGGTATGGTGAATATAGTATTTGAACTGGAATCAGGAAGACTTGAGTTCAAATCTGGCCTCAGACACTAACAAGTTTTGTGATCCTCAGGAAGAAAGGAAGGGGGAAAGGAAAGGAACATTTACAAAATGCCTACTATGTGCTGGACACTATACTCAAAAAGACACTTAAAATCTCTAGGCCTGAATTTTCTCATCAGCAAAATTGGTGGTTGGGTTAAGTGACCTCAAAGGTCCCCTTCCCAGTTCTAAATCTATGAATCTGTGGTCATTTGGGATATTAATTAGCATTTTTGCGTGTCCTTCTTAAGCCTAATTATTTTGTATCGTATTTATTTGTTGGTCTTGATATATAATTTATTATAATTGATTCAGATTAAATAACTGGCAACTGGTACAATTTTATTCCTTTTTAAATAAAAATATTTCAGTGTATAAGACCATGTCTAATCAATTCTAGTAACTTTCATTTTAAAATACGTTCCAATATGACATTCTTTTTTTTCTTGGCTTCTAATTTTTTATGACATCTCAGAATTATTTAAAGCTCAAAAGTTAAATTATAGTCTAAATTTAGAAAATATTTCAATAGTTGCTGTAATATTTTCTGTTATAAGTTGAACTTCATGTTCTCAATGCATTGTAACTGAGTTTTCTGAATTTTTAGGAGGAAAAAATCCATATGAATCCAAAACTACCAATTGAGAAGTCAGGTGGTTTCATGATACATTCAGAATGGTCATAATTCCCACTACTAACATGTTATTTATATTTTGAAGGGGATGTGGTCTACTAGGAGGAACCCCTAAGAGTAAGAGGTCCTACTTTGCTATGAACTTGCTCTGTGAGCTTGGACAAGTTATCTAAATATACCTCAATTGCCTCATCTGCAAAATAGGATTGATGTCTAACAAAATGAAGTCATACCTTCCATCTACATTAAAGGCGTTATATATGGAAATATACTAAAAAAATTTTTTTTGATACTGTATTGCACAAGAAGGCTTTTCCTTAGGAAGTGGGCATGGTCTGTTGCCAGGGTCATACACAAAACCTTTACCAGTATGATAGAACTTGCCGGAAATTGTGTTCTGATTCAGTAGTCTTTATGAACCCAGTCTCCTCTAGGCCATGAAGAGACATCAGAAGAGTACTTTTTGTGGAGGCCTCAAAAATGAATGATTGCTAAATATAATCATACAATATGAGGGGAAAAGCTACTTGCTATCAATGCTATATATAAATCCCAAGCAGCATTACCTGAGGGGGGAGAGGGAGAAAGGGCAATGTACCCTGTCATGGTCCAGACCAATTGCATGTACTTAGAGCACATCTACATTATCTGGAAACTCAAGCAACAAGAAATCTGTTGGCCACCCTTAATATCATAAAAATAATTATAGTTGACATTTATATCGCATTTTAAGGTTGCAAAGTATTATCCATATATTGTCTCATTTAATTTTCACAACTACCCTATGAGGTAAATACCAAAACTATTATTATGCCCATTTAACAGATAAGGAAACTAAGGCTCTTGGATGTTAAGTGACATGGCTGTGGTCACACAGCTAGTAACTGAGGTTGTATTCAAACATAGGTCTTCCTAACTCCAACTCTAGCACTGTTCCCACACTTTATCACATGGCATCTCATACCCTCTGTTTAGCATATAAAGCCCTCAACCTACCTTTCCAGCCTTGCTATACATTATGCTCTTTGCCTCACTCTGTTGTCTAACTAAACTGGCCTTATTGCTATTCTTCCACTCCACTCACTCTTGGTACCCTGTCCTTTATGCCTGGAATGCACTCTATCCTTATCCCAACTTCTCAGAATTTCCTTTAATACTTAATTCAAATAACACTTTATACATAAAGATGCTCCTCCTAATCTCCTCATGCCAGGTGAGTGCCCTCCCTCCAAATACTACCTAGTATTTATTTTGTATATGTACTATGTATTTACATATGTATACATTGTCTACATAGAATGTGTGATCCTTGAGGTCAAGGATTGTTTCATTTTGTCATTGTATCGCCAGCACTTTGCACACAGTAGACACTTAATGTTTTTGATTGACTTAATACTTGAGAGAAATGTTTCAGACTAACAATATTTACCTTGAGAATTTTTTCCTGAACTTAGACTAATTTGAACCTGGTGACTATTCTTATCTCTTAGCCTAAGAAACAAATTTATATTTTAGATGGCTTGGAGAAAGAAATGGCAACCACTCCAGTATCTTTGCCAAGAAAACCCCAATCGGGTCATGAAGAGTT